TAAGTTTGGGTAAAGCTGTGATTCAGGTGAAACAGGTTAGTTAGAATCTGAGAATCAATGCTAACGCACCGTTTCACCATGCTAGCTGTAATTAGTAATTAGTAATTAGTTTTTCAGGTATTTGCTCCTAAAATATTGGACAAACAATATTTTAGGAGCAAATACCAAACCAACAATAGCATTCATTTTGAGTTGAAAGTTGAAAAACACACAATGGAATCATAACCCTTTAAGATTGCATCATCTGTTATATTGTAAGGCTGTTTGGCAGTGCAGGCCTGCTTCAGTGTAACTCGCATTGTAATAAAACCCTTCTACTCACGTATTCACTTTATCTCTCGTTCACTTTACATGAATGAATTACAATGTTTGAATGTGAAGATAAAAGAAGGGAACAACGGTTAGTTTTATGGTATGGTCTTTAATCGTTGTTGTAGCTGAGGCCAAAAGTGAGTCATTCTCCAAACTGTAAAAACCAAATAAGTTATTATTATTAACTCAATGTATCTGTAAGGGTTTATTTCATTTCTAAAATTCTAATTCAACTTCAAAGTAACTGATGACCTCTGACCTCCAGTCTTTTGAACAGGGTATCAGAATGTGTACAGTCCATGATCATAACTTTATTTAAATACCACCTTTCATACAAACAGCAATAAATAAACCTTTGTAAGGCTAAAGAAACTTAATGTATCAAAAACATAAAAGTTGATATAAAAATAAGCCCCAGAGAGACACAAATAGTGTAAATAACAATGATTAAAACCTAAAACAGTTTCATACTTTTAGTTCTGTTCCTCTTATCACACGAGATGGACGACAGGAGCTGTGCTGCAGTATTACTGTAGCGTCCTTTGGGCCACATCGCTCATTTACTCCTTTATTATCTCTCGCTGTTAAATAAACTTAACTGAAGTTACTGTGCAAATAAGAGTGGTGCCACTCTGAAGGCTTGGCTTCGGTCTCTCTCTCCTTTATAAAAACCAGCTCTTTCTGTGTTCACCGCACCGTCTCTCTCTGACACCAGGAAGAAAACTGAGGAAGAACTTCAAAGCTCAGACCTGACAACCGACAAAGCAGGTATGAGCTCCTCTACTTGGGAAGAGTAACGGGATTTTGATATTAAAACTTGTTTTTCAGCTTTAAAGAGGAAGTTTAAGGAAAAGAAACTTTGTATACAATCATACAGTAACAGGGTCCAACAGACTTTTGTTTTGAAATGAGAAAACCATTCAAAAACATGTAGAAGTTTTTCTATAAGTAATTTTCTGTTTTTAAAAACAGAATAAGTTCTGAGCTCTTTCTTTCTTGTGCACACTGTGACGATGAACTGAACCTGTGTGCAGATGGCTGGACTGTGGTGGATGACTGTGACGCTGGTATTGCTGCTGTCTGCTGGAAGTATTTTGTCTGATGCTAACAAGGAGAAAGAAGTAGTAGATCTGGGGAAGTTGATGTAAGTCACCATCCAGTTTTTCCTCACATGTTTCTGTCATTGTGTAACTGTGACTGCTCATTAAGTTACATATTTTATACAGTTGAAGGAATTTTGAGCAGATTATTTCCTGTGAATATTGATCAGAGATAAGTTTTCCTGATATTTTTAGGAACTTTTTATACAATTGTCTGTCTGTATTATTTTTCTTTTTTTGACACATTCTATGTTTCCTTCTCATTGCTCTATTAAGTTTTGTGATTTAGCTTGTGTTCAGCTTTTGTTCTTCTGACCAATAAATCCTCCTAAATGTTACACACTGGACTTTTAAATGTGCTTCGAACACATTTTTGTTGACCTGCCTTCTACCTGGCTTGTACTGCCATGTTATCACCATGTCTTTTGTTCTTATCTTAGCTTATTTATCCATTTATTTTACTTACTTATTATCATCGTTATAATTATTATTGTACATGGTTCTATCCATTCTTCTATATAGCAAGCTTTCAATCTATCTACACATAAATTCTATTAAATACTAATTGTTTTATTTCTAACAGGAGAGAACACATAAAAGATAAGGCTGCAGACAATAAGGACCCTCAACATCCTCACAATGGTGAATATATATATATGCGCATATATAAATATATATAATATATATATATAAATAAAGAGAGAGAGAGAAAGAGACCATTCATCTAGAGATGGAAATAAAGGCAGTGAAGGTGATAAGGTGATTGGCAAAAGAAGGCAAAGATGGACCCACACTTTTACACATTCATTTTAAGGCAGATAGAAATGTTTGGACATCTAAAATCAGTCCTGACTGACCGAGATGACGGGTAGCAACAGCAATAGGATGCATCCCAACTGGGAATGTTGACAGTGTTGTATATCTCACTCTCACTACTCGTCCTATCTGCTATTCTAACTGTCCTTTCTCTTCAGGTGCAGCTGCTCCAGCCTGATGGTCCCAGTCTCTCTCTCTGTAAAGGGGGCAGGAGGCTTCAAAGTGCTTTGAGTCAGTCACATTTGATTAAAAATGAAATAAAAAGTTAAATTGCTTCCTTTTGACTGCTTTTGAATTATTCTGTTGATCTGCTTTTAAAAACAGACAAGCCCTGCTATTGGAGTTGTGTTTGTAATGGTTTTAAGTCCAGTATTCATCAGCTGCTATAGATGTTCCAGAGTCTCTAACTGTGTCTGTGCTGTTTGCTGCTGCAGCAGGTTTACAGCGACCAAACCAAAACTCTAAGCTGAGTTGAGCTGAGCTGCAGAAGTGATAACATTTAGCATATTTACATATTCTGGAATTTTTAATGAGGTTCAAAATGGCTGCTTTTGTTCAAATGTGACGTGATACAGAAACAGGAACCTTCTTTTATGCACAGATTGTTCTTCTTGCTGTGAGTTTTAAAAAGTGGATCACATATAGCAGACACACGTTATTGATCCAAGCTGATCATATGTGTCTTTCCTGGATCTTTAAATATCTGAAACTAGATTAAATGATGATAAATATCGTTTCAATAATTAAATGAGGGAAACTTTCTGCAAATACGTCCAATAGAGCAAAAATGGAGGAGATTAGAGCATTATACATACAGCTTAATGAATCAATTACTTTCTTGATTATTTGATTGCCTGTATGATATTGATCGTTGTAAAATCCCAATATCCTACAGCAACATCATCAAATGTCTGCTTCAGTCTGACCAACAATATAAAACTTGTGCCTGGAGAAGAGGCTATACTCCTAATTTATGCCCCAATATTTTTGTTACCTTTTGTTACTGGTCACTGAACTTCTGCAGGTATCATTATGACATTAACATTAGCCAGAGGTGAAAGAGGCGAGACGACCTTCATAATGAGGCATTTTTAGTGAACTATTCCTTATTCCTTTATCCACCCACTCATGAGAATTGTTGTTGAAGGCAAAACTATGCCATACCTTTGCCATCCTAGGGGGGAAAAGAGTTCTGCATGCAGAACACTACTGAATGATGGAGGGGTATTTAGAAGTAGGTATACGCCGGGTACACCTGAGTATACCTGAGTATTGACTGATCAATTAATTGACATATAATTGCAGCTGCAGGAGATAATGAATATTGTTACGACTGTTAGCTTTTTATAAAGATAAAAACAAAGAGTTTAAACTTGTGATAAAAGATCCCTTTCAGACACATTTCAGGCCAGTGGTTCCCAGACGAGTCCTGTGACATATTTTATGGATGTTTCATATTATATTTAATGCATAATAATAACATAATAACAGAACAACTGATAAACTGTACAGTGAACCTAAACAGGCCTTGACAAATTAAGTGTTTTGTGATACCTGGGCATGTGTGTATGTTTCTAATGCAGGACGAGGCTGTTTGTGTGAATATAACTTGTGTTCAGCTCTTCAAAGATCTTAAACAATAATCTAAACTTAAAAAATAACAATTTCTTTTAGTTTTCCTTACAGAAATGAACAATAACACATAATAATGATTTTCTGTTAGAAGACTTAAAGATTCTTAAAATGAATTACATCACAAAGAAATACACTCAAGTAGTAACATTATGTATTGATCTCCCCAGTATTAGACAATTTAAAAAAAATAAAAAACTTACTGAAGACATCTCCCAAATCCTGAAATTCCACATCCGGTGTTGCTTCAGTCGCACCAAGATTTTACTCTTCGGATCTGTTTTATTTTTTCTGGACAAAAATACCAATGTAAGTACAGATTCTTTCTCCTGTTGCTCTTGTCCTGTAGCCAAATATATATATATAATATATCCATATGTGTGTGCCGATCGAAATCGGATAATAACCTAAAATGCGATCGGATCGATGTGGGGGAGCAGTGTGCAGGGCCGACGGACGAGCTGGCACAGCCGGGGGGAGGACGGCATGGCAGGAGCTGCGTACTAAATGGGGTTTTCATCAACAGTCCAATGATAAAATAAATAGTGGGATCTTGGTGTGAAACTCTAAGAACTAAAAGAGGGGGAGGAGAAAAGAAGGAGAAAACTGGAAAGAATTTGGGGCGCAGTTAACTAAACAGAAAGTGAAACTTATCTTCCCCCTTTTTAAATACAAATGTATACTTTTCATTTTATTATTATTATTGATTATATAATGATTAAGAGATAAAGAACAAAACAATTTCAGCAACAGGCGCTTTACAGAGCTGTGATTTATGTGGCATGGCCACAAAACTCTCCCCCTTCAGAGATCTTAACCAACATCTGGATTTTAGTTTGCACAACTGATCTATAAACGCAGAAGCCTCTTCTCCACCTCTCTGTGTATCCTTTATTTAAGATCTCCCTGTTCCTCCTGCAGCACGTTGTGCAATAACTGCTGCACACTGAAACAGTAGGAAAGTTAGGAGGGTGACTGGCAGTTGAATCTTCAGTGAAATAACCCGAATTAGAAGTAAGTAATAATAAATAATTATACAGCACTCATGCAACAAGGTTAAAGAAGTGTTGGATAAATAACAAGAAAAACCAAAAGTATCATATGAATAACATACAGAAAATAGAATACATATAATATAATATATAGATATTTATAGTAGATAGGCAAACGGATAGAGAATATTATAATAGATATTACCTGTATAGATGAAAACAAGTATTGTCAATATCGATATAATGTAAAAATAAAGAAAGTGAATATCATAGAATATTTTATAAGTACTATATACACTAAGAAACCATCGCTTATATGAAGCCTTGAGTAAAAAGATAAATAGATTGTGCCGCGAAGTGGACGCACTTGGCTGCCACATGCAATGGCTTCAGCAGGATCTTGGTATTACAGATCAAGTACAATGATGAACAGTGGTTTCAACCATGGTGGTCAGGCAGCCCACTCAAGGGGTCACAGAAGCTTCACAGGGAGGTCTTACTTGATTTTAAAGGCGTGGCAAACTAGAAGATATAACAGCAGCGCTATAGTCAGCTTTGGTTCACTTGTGTCTAATAGAGTAGCAATGGTTAAATTGTCAGGCGACAAGCAAAAAACTGAAATTGTCTGAAAATGAGCTATTCAGTTTTTTTATGATCGTGTAAATGATTAAAAATACAGAATAGCAGACAGAGAGATTGTTATTAAAGTTTCCCAGAACAGTGGAAATAATCTGGCTCAGAATTCATCCAAATCTCTGGTATTTACAAGCAAAATTCCTGCAGTTACTGAGTTCGACGTATTTGGGTTCATTGTAGGACGTTTTAAATATAAATGTGAAATTGCATAAGAATACGTCACTGAGTCGTTTAATATGATAGAAGGGTGTCGCTTAAGGGAAAAGGGTTGGGAACTAGTGGACTCTAATTTTGTATCTGAAATGTTTGGTCATTATCGGCCTTAGAATATCACCAAACTTATTCTACCATTGCTTTGATGCAGACACGGTAATTTTGAATCGTGGGTATAGAGTGTAATTTGTCTATCCCTGTTGCCTTAGGTACGGAGTAGCAGGATGTTCAGTGTGGCTGTGAGGATCCCCGAGAACCAGAACGCTGAACCAGAACGCATTCTTCGGCAAGTCTATACGCAGTGATCTGGTACCAATGTGAAGAAAAGATGAATAATAACCAGGTGATACACGCCAGGGCAGCAGGGTGGTTGCGCAATAGTTCTGAAACAGCCGCAATAGAGGAATGATCACGCAGAGTCACGTGTTGTGGCAATTTGAACCAATTGTTCGCGAGCGTGGCGGGAATGATTTGTTGCTTTTCTTGTTTTTTCTCCATAGTGTTGAAAAAATGCTCAAGCGACCCATCGTGAAGCATTTCTCGAAGGATAATGATTAATCACGATGGATTAATCGATGGCTGTTGTGTTTTGCTAAATATTCAAACTCGCGTTGGTCCGGGCACAGCTGATGATGAACGGCGTGGCAGCGCTTCTGGGCGGCTCGGAGCTGTGGTCGGGCCTGGGCAAACATAATTTTCGTTGTGATGGGAATCAGTGCAACCAGCTGCTCGCGTTACGGACAGGTTGCACAGTTATTGTGTTTCCGATGAGCGCAGTTCTTCCAGGTTGGAGGGGCTCGGTTCAATAGCTTTTGGGACTCGTGTGATTAGGTTAAAAAAAGTCGCAGGGACATGAAGAAGCATAATTCAACGCCTGCTGCGTTGACCTTTTTCAGATCCATTTTGTCATGAAACAGTAGGGGTGTGTACCAATGATCTGGTTAGGTTCCAGTTTCATTTTTAATGTCGCATGGCTTATCAGCGAGCACAAGACTCACAATAGCAGCACCCTGACTCTGGTTGCTGACCTGAACTGAAGCAGAACCTTAATTAGTATGAATTGGTA